CGTGTGCTTTGGGATAAGGCTTCGCGGCATTGGAATGGCAAAGGTCTAGAAGAGGGAGCTGACGTTTGTGAAGCTCGACGTCACCTCACATCTTTGAAGAAGAAGGGCGAGCACGAGATGGCAGGCGCTATCGAGACTGTCATGACGGGAGCTTCGTGGACACGCAGCAGGATCTCGACCCTGAGCAGCAGCAATTTGGACACCACCGATTGTCAGCGTTGCAAGTGTGGATTGGAAGAGACCGATTTGCATCGTAGTTGGTCGTGTTCTTGCAATGAGGTGTTCCCGTCGGTCTCTACAAACTTGCGTAACAGGGCCCACCATGACTACGAAAACCTTCCCTGCCTGTGGTTGAGGGGCTTATTGCCTGCTCCTTGGACCAAGGTGGACGAGCCGACAGACAACCCGTATGATGAGGTCATCGGCCATAAGGATGATCTCAAGGATCTCGATCATCTCTTGGTTGGTGGTGATGCTTCAGGAGGGCTTCACTCAGCAGATGCTAGGTTGCGGCGTATTGGCTGGTCATATCAAGTCATCAAGGTGACCTCCGACACCGACCTAGACGTCCAGCTTTTGTTCTCCCGAGGCGGTGGTATCCCCAAGAAGCAGACCATCAACCGTGGTGAGACGACGGCTTTGCTCAGGGCCGCTGAAGATCTGCTCAACTTAGGGGTCCCTATCACCTTCGTCACGGACTCGGGGTACGTGGTCAATGGGCTCCGCAAACTTTCGCAAGGGCGGCTTCCGACTACGAACCTGGACCTTTGGCTGCAGGTCAAGGACGTGGTGGCACAGTACCCATCTATGCTCAGCGTCGTCAAGATCGAGAGCCACATGTCTGTCGAGGTGGCCATCCAAGCTGGGACGCAGATCGAACACTACCTAGCTAACGCCTTAGCGGATGAAGCGGCTGGTTACTGGGCAAATGTGGTGGCTGTTCATAGTTCAGTTGCAGCGTCTCTGGAGCATGCGGAAGCAATCGGTCGTGCTGTCCGCAAACACCTGGCCAAGGCTTTTCTGGCAGCGGCGGAGGCGGAGCCCAAACGTTTCCGTCCGACGAGGTCCATGGCGAAAAAGTTCAGTCGTCGTGTCAAGTTGTCCGAGCACCAGGTCTTCACTGGCATGGGCACATCCTTTCATTGTTCGGCTTGTGGTTGCAGCGCGAGTGGTCGCAAGCTGGAAAGGTTCTTGGAGACGCCCTGTTTGGGGGGTGTCCTCAAGGGCCACATTCAGAGAGTGGGCGATGTTGGTGTTCACGTACAAGGAGTTCCGATTCATGAGTCCCACCTCTTGGGTTATTTCAAGGACCTGCAGATCCATGCCTGTTTGCGCTGCGGTTGTGTCGGCAAGCATTTCCTGCGCAGGTTGGCGAATGTGTGTTCTGGTCAGCTGGGCCACTACGGACATCAGAACTTGGGCAAGCTGGCCCGAGGCATTCTACCGAAGGGGCGTGTGGCATTTTGCAGCAAGCAGCCCGAGCATATCGGCACCTAATTTCGTCGTGCTGACTTTTCATTTCTTTTTGAGGCCTCTGGTCTTGGGCGTCTATGTGTATCATGGTATAAGTCCTACAGCAGCCTCTTCATGGCGTTGTGGTCGCCTTTGGCTTCGCTCGACGTTTTCGAGGCGCTGGTATTCCTGGGGGTGGCTCCTCTCGAGACCCCAGGTGAGTGTGCCTGCGGGCGCCTTTTCTTTCGAGGTCCGCTTCGACATGCTCGTCAGCATCGTCGAGGCGCTTCTATTCCTGGGGGTGGCCCCTCCTGGGACCCCAGTGCGCCTTCGGGCGCCTTTTCTTTCGAGGACTGCTTCGGCATGCTCGTCCGCATCGTCGAGGCGTTATTCCTGGGGGTGGCCCCTCTTGGGACCCCAGGTGGCTGCCGCATGAGTGCGGCCGGCCGTCCTCCCCTCCTTCTCCTTCCCCTTGTCTTGCTCCTCCTCAGGGCTTCTGTGCTGCGGCGGAGGGAGGCTGCGGGCCGCGGAGTACTAAATACTCCTCCCCCTCCTTTTTTTCCTCCCTCTCTCACCGAAGGTGGTCGTGGTGGTGGAACATCGGCCCATCATCTCTCCCCCTCCCGCCGCCTCCCGTCCTGTTCGCCTCGCCCTCCGCGTCTCGTTCTCCTGTGGTGCTGCCGGGCGCGCGGCCGTCGCCACTCTGCCGTGCCTTTGGACCGGAGTCCACCCAGCATGCGTGCAAAATATTTCGGATGGCGATCCGTTGATGATGGGCGTCGGGCTTGGAGACGAGCAGTCAGAGCCCCGAATCATCAGGGGTAACTCGGGTCAGGGATAACTCGGGTTCGTTTTTCGGGAATCCAAACCCGAGTTACCCCGGACCCGAGTTACTCCGGATAACTCGGGCGTCCAGAGCCCCACATCATCAGGGGTAGCTCGGATCAGGGCTAACTCGGGTTCCTTTTTCGGGAATCCAAACTCAAGTTACCCCAGACCCGAGTTACCCCGGATAACTCGGGCGCCCAAAGCAGGAGTGGAGCGAAGGAGTAGAGGAGGAGGGGGCGAGGAAGGGGAACCCCAGCTGGGGGGTCCGGCGGAGTGACAAGTCGGGTATGTCCTTCTACAGGAGGAATATTCAAGAATGATTTAAACATAGTCTGGTCACGATTTTTCGATTATGTTTGAATTATATTTCGGTATGATTTGCCTATGTTTCATGTTTCTTCCAAAATCCACCTGTAGGAGGGGTATGCCCGACCTAAGCAGAGTGGTGTCCGACGCGGATCTTTGCCTGGACTTGGCGTGCCTTCGGCGCTGCTGGGCACGCCGACTGTCGCCGTTTTCCCGCGTCCAGGGTGATCTGACTTAGTTACGAGTGGCGAACGTGTCCATTTCCGCGCCTTCTCGGTTTGGATTCTGTCGCGCGATTCCTCGGATGCGCGGTCGCGCGGACACGTCTCGCGCGGGGCATCCGCGAGAATATGCGTACGCCTCGTATCCGCGGGGTCGCGGCCCAGGGGCCCGGCCCGAGGACCCGACGATGCCTTGCCCCATGTGGGCCCAGGGCGCTGCCGGGGGCCCAGCTGTCGCTTCTCGTCCTGCGCCCGTTTGGAGCCCAGCGGAGCGACGCTTTGCGCGGGCTCAGCGAGGCCTGGGTATCCTTGCGGGCACCACTTATATCCATATCCACTGCGTCTTGGACTTTCTGGGAAGGGGCGCCAACAGGCCGCGGCACAGTGGATATGGATAAAAATCTGACCTCTAGGGGCGAAACTGTTTTATCCATATCCACGGCGCCTATGGTATCGGAGGAAGGGAGCCCGAAACTCCAAGATGCAGTGGATATGGATACAAACTTTGCCCGCAATCCCTGGGTGTTGTCAGGCGCGCGACCGTCGCCGTTTCAACGCCCTCGCATGCCCTGGCGCAAGCCTGGCGCGCAACTCAAGGCCGCCCAGATGGTGTCGGACTGATTAGATGAGGTCATGGATCGTGCCGCATCATTGATGCATCGCCGATACGGCTCGATGTGGAGCCCGATTTTCTCAGCGCAGACGTCGCCGATGCATCGGCGACGCGGTGCAATCCCCAAGCCCCATCTACTCGGACCCCATCTAGGAGGCCTCTGTCAACTGTCGCCGCTTTTCTGCCTTTGCTGGGTGTTCGGCCGAGCGACGTCTACAGTGGAGGCCCATGCCAAAAAACACCCTGCTTGCCTCCAGGGTGCCCTGGGTTTCTTGGGTTTCGACGGTTTTGCAATAGAAAGCGTGACGTTGGACGTCCTGGGGTCTTATGGAAGTTTCTTGTGGACTGGCCTCCAATGTAGTCACTAGACCTTGCGCGCCTAGGTACTGCCAGTGCGCGCGTCTGTCGCCGCCTCTCGGCGTTCCCGGGGGGGTCCACTCTGCGAAGCGGCGTCTTACGCACAAACCCCAAGCAGACCTCGCCTGGGTGTTGCCGGGCGCGGCCGTGACGGTCCTCAGGGCAGAGGCACGCCCGAGGGCACCATCGTCGATGCGAGCCGGCATCAGTTGCGTCGACACGCCGCTGTCCTCGCAAAAACGTCGGAGAATGTGCTTGTGGTCTGGAACCTTGGCTTGGGATCAAGCAGTGGCGACGCGTCCTAGCTCGCCTATAGCCCTACCAAACGATGTTCCAAGAACCTTATGTGGTTCCCACGAACTGATCTCAGAACATTTCTGGCTGGGAGTGTCTTGTTTTAACACATCGGGCTTATGTTCTAAGAACCTAGTTTTTGTTATTAGAACTTGTTGTCGAGTTCGAGGAACACTTCGTGGTAGGACTATACGAATGCTGGGACGGTCGGTCCCTGCTCAATGGGAGGGCCACCCGCGGGGCGCCACTCCTGCGGGTGCCTGTTGCCAGCGAGCAGCCGCGCAGGGAAGAGGCTCGCTCACAGACCGGTCATCCGTTTCAGCCTGGGCGCGCTCATGCCGTTTCGAGATGCCTGCACGCCTGCCGTCATCGCCATGGCACAGTATCATCGCCCTCCATGCCATCCCCGCCTCCTTCGCCATGCTTCTTTTTTCATGGCGTCGTGGTCTCATTCCTTCTCCTGGTCTCGTTCCTTCTCCTTCTCCCGCATTCCCCCCTTCCATGTCCCATTCCTTTGGGGCTTCGTCTCATGTCGGCATCATGTGGTGTACAACGCGTATCTCTTCATGTTGGTTGCGCCCGTTTATTGTCGATGTTTACGTTCATTGCCCTTCGTACTACAGTTTTGTTATACACCAGCCATCCTGTGGTTATCCAAGATGATTTGAATGATTATTCTGGACATGTGTCATACCACTCGGGGTCAAGTGGTTCTAGTACGGAATATTTCTTGCCCATCTTGGCATTTACGATAGTGCCTCGTCTTCGATGCGTGGGAAGTATGAACCATGTGTAGAAGAGTCTGGTTGCCCTGATGTCTTCCAGGTTGTCAACAAGCTCAGGAGGTTTCTGGAGGTGCAGGCAGGTGCCAAACATGTCCAAACGCGTGAGTGCCACCATCCTCAGCTATTGAGGGGGAGTGAGCCCAGGATAACGTACACGCGCGGCTCCGACGAGGACGAGCTGCACGAGGACGTTTTCGAGGACCCGAGCGAGCTCCAGAAGGGACCCAGGCTGCTTGTGTCGCTGAAGTCCGTACCCTTTGCGGGTCGTGCTCGGGGACGCTGCTGGGAGGAGGAGGAGGAGGAGGAGGAGGAGGAGGAGGAGGAGGAGGAGGAGGAGGAGGGGGAGGAGGATCGGGGGGAGGTGAATCGAGGTTCGAGGATCGATGGTTTTGACGGCACGTTTCGGTCAGCTCGTCGCCACGGTTGGACACAGCTCCGAGCACCGGCCAGGCTGGGCCCCGGGAGGGGTCGGGGATCGAATTTGGACGGATTTGGGATCGGTTGGGGAGGACAGTCAACATGCATAGTAAGGATGGGAAACCTTTCCAAGGGTACCCTTGCATGCTTGCCTCCTCGGTCCATCCTTGGCCACTCTTGTTGGCCGCGCCCCGCTCGAAGAGCTTCGAAACAAGCGTCCAAGGCCCTCACATCCTCATCGCGCATCCTTGTGATACGGGCCGACTGCATCCAGGTGAGAGGGCCGAGGATCGAGGGGACCGTGTTTGGACGCTGGGGTGGACCTAAATGGTGTTTTTGCGATTTCGTGGGCCGTTTTCGTTTCGACCTCGTGTCGCGGAAAACGGCGGACTGAAGACAAAACAGCGGAAAACGAAACCAAAACGAAAACGAAAAACATTCAAACGAAAAACGAAACGAAAACGAAAACGGGTCGAGCCCTATCTGGACGTGCTCGATCCCGTGGGGCGCGTCCGTGGCCACCAGCCCGGGCCCACACGCCCAGACCTCCACGGGCGGAGCCCGCCTCCTGCCGCCCCCCCTGGGCAGGCCGCAAGGGTCCGATTGCGCTCCTAGGCCGTCTTGGGGCCCTCTCGGAGGCCTCGTTGGCCATTTCGGGGTGGTCTTTTGGGGGCCTCTTGGGGCGTCTTGGAGCGTCGGGGAGCCGGAAAGGCGAGAACACCACAATCTTTCAATAAGCGGAGAGACATATGTTTCTGCCTCTTGGGGCCCTCTTGGTAGGCCTCTTGCAGAGGGGGCCACAAGAAACCCAGCTCTGAGACCCCAGGACGTCCATTAGGTTTTGGTGCTGTGGGAACGTCACGCTTTCCATAGCAAAACGGTCGAAACCCACGAAACCCAGGGCACCCTGGAGGCAAGCAAGGAGTTTCTTGGCATGGGTCTCCACTGTATTGCATCCAGACGCGTGGCCCGGCCACAGCGCGGCGACGCCAAGGGGCATCGGCCAGGTCTGATGTGTGCCTGGGTGTCGGTACCCAGACCCCCTCTCGTGGTGCAAAAAATCACGACGGGAGTTCTTTCGTCTTGTTTTGGCCTCGGGGGGCCCTTCCCGGCCTCTGGACCGTCAAAACGTGACTCAGGATGAAGAACCAGACCCAGGGAAAGGGTCCAGACCTTTGGGTGTCGACGTTGTGACAAAACCACGACGTCGCGGGTCTGGGTAATTATTGTCACAGGGGGATCGTTTGGGAATCTTTCCTCCTCATTCCCCCTCCTCCTCTCCTCCTCTCCTCCTCTCCTCCTCCTGCACTCCTCCACTCCTCCCTCATCCGCATCCTCTCCCCCCTGTTGGTCAGGCCCCCTCATGGTCAGGAGGCTGCCTGCCAGCCTGCGCTGGAGTCGCACGTTGAGTTCCGTTGCGGCGCGAAGCCGCCACCGCTCTCGGGCGAGCTCTCGGGGAGGGCTCTCTTAGAGCCCTCCTTGGGGAGCCCGCCATTGATCAAGGGGGGGGGGATCCCACATTTGCCCCCCCCCCCCCCCCCCTGCCCGCCCCCACGGGGCCATCAGCATCGCCTCTTGGGGCACTCTTGGGTCGCTCTTGGGCCGATTTTGGGTGCTCTTGGGGCCGTTTCGGGGGGCTCTGGCTGGGAGGGTGGGGGGCGGGGGAGGCCCAGGCAGGGTGGGGGCAGGCTCCGTGGAAGGTACTACACCAGCCGCCCGTGGCGTGGACTTGGAGGCCGCCTTCTGCGTGGAGGGCAAGCACGCAAGCACCTGGTCCAACACGTGAACGAATGCTGGGCTCTATACGTCGGGTGGAGGGGGGTTCAGTTGTTCCTTCGCACAAGGCCAAACAAAGGAACCATCAAGGGCTCGACAATCAACCGCTGCCAGCGCGGTGGTGGACGTTCAATCAGAGCCTCGCTCGATAACTCTGCAGACCTGTAGTCGATGACGATGGTGCCGTGGAGCGTATGCCCTCAACGACCTTTGTAGTTTCAACAGTAGCATGTGGTTGCAGCAGGGTTGCAGTCCTGAGCTACACTGACAGTGCTTCATCGACCTCTGGTCATGGACGCACGCCTTCAAGCAATCATGAACATCAAACGGCGTAGACCTAGCATTACCATCCGTTTTAGGGCCGCGCGGTCAGCCCGATTCGAATAAAAAGTGCCATGCGTTCTTCACATCTCAACAACGGGATGCTGACGCAGGGAACGTTTCTCGATGGTCGTGCGCAGGAGGAGGGAGGGGCGGTCATAACCCCTCCCCCTCCAACCCCCCAGAACGAGGGCGGGTGAAGGGGGTGGCACGAATCCCCCACTCCCCCTCCTCCTCCTCCTCCTCCTCCTCCTCCTCCTCCTCCTCCTCCTCCTCCCCCTCCTCCTCCCCCTCCCCCTCCCCTTCCTTCTTCTCCTCCTCCTCCTCCTCCTCCTCCTTCTCCTCCTTCTCCTCCTCCTCCCCCTCCTCCAGCTCCTCCTCCTCCTGCTCCTCCTCCTCCACCTCCTCCTCCACCTCCTCCTCCTTGGCTGAGCTGCGAAAGACAATGCAGCAGAACCTGGACGAGGCGAAGAATGCACGCAAGGCTATGCTACCGCCGCAAACGGTGCACAGGCGAGCGCAGCAGGCCTTGGAGAAGGGAAAGAACCAACACCGCAAAATGCAGGAGGAGCTGGATGAGAAGCAGCGCCAGCTCGAGCGATGCAGGCTTCCCTGGCAGCGAGGCGTGAGGCTCTCGAGGCGAAGAGGTTGGAGGTGGAGGCACTCAATGACGAGTTCAAAACGAGTGCTGAAGCGATGGCGCCACCGCGGTCTGCGGAGTGCCCAGCCATAGGTGGAGTCAAACTTGAGTTTGAGGAAGAGCAGCTTGAACCTGAGGTGCGGGAGCTCATCAAATCAGATACTTGGGTCAAGCTACGGGAGCATATTCAGAAGGCGTTTGCCAAACCTCCTGCTGCTAATGGGGCTGCTCCTGATGCTGGTGATGGTGGTGACGATGCAGAGATGCATGCTGATGAGGAACCTGGGCTCAAACTGTCGGAGAGCCAGAAGCGAGCACTGTTCCAGCAAGCAGATGGTAACGTTGAAGTGTTCCTGCAGGCGTTCACCAGCTTTGAGGAGCAGCAGCGGACGAAGTAGCGGCAAAGGTAGCACGATGATTAATGATTGCCTTGCCGACGTAGAGGGTTACACTGACGGCGAGGATTTCATGCCATATGGGGGGGACAGACCCGAAGCGCCCATACGGGTGGTGCCCAGTGTCCTGAAAGCGTCGGAGCGTCGCGTCCCCCCCAGGAGCAGCACGGCGACGACAGCTGGATTTAAGTGGCTGAACGGTTGCCTTGTCGAGGTGGGGACATGCACCGACAGGATTTCATGCCATCTGGAGGGGGCAGACCCGAAGCGCCCATACGGGTGGTGCCCAGTGTCCTGAAAGCGTCGGAGCGTCGCGCCCCCCTGAAAGAGCAGTTCGGCGACATTTTCTGAAGCTGCGATGTATAATGCTTGCCTTACTGACGAGGATGGCGGCACCGACGGCGAGGTTTGCGCGCCAAATGGGGGGGGGCAGACCCGAAGCGCCCATACGGGTGGCGCCCAGTGCCCTGAAAGCGTCGGAGCGTCGCGCCCCCCCCCAGGAGCAGCACGGCCAGAACAGGTGGTATTGCGATCAGAGTGTGCGGAATTGGCTGAGAGAGGACATGCACGGCCTGCGGGAGCAGATGTTACTGCTCAAGAAGCGTTGCGCACGATAGAGACCTTCAATGCGAGTGGAGGCAAGCACACACTCAAGAGTTGATTGCAAGTTGCTTCAACTGACATCCTTTTGGCCCAGGAGATCGGGCACCTAGCCGATCAGCTTGAGGCGCTGACCTCATGGGCACACGGACGAGGATGGCGCATGATGGCTCTGGCAAGCTACCCTGCGGCAGGAGTACTGCCAGGAGCAGGTGTAGCAGAATTTGTTCGTGACGGACATGGGCTGCGCCCACCTGCTGTTGGTGAGATGCAAGTGTGGGAACATCGGATCCAGCATGTGGTTGTGGATCTAGCGAGTTGGCCAGTTGAGTTGCACATTGGAGGTGAGGGGTGACATCGAAGTGGAACGGAGAGCCCCCCTACCGGGAAATCGATTTCGGTTTCGTGTTCGCGCGTGCCGTGCGGGCGAGGCGAAGCTGCGCGGGCGGGCGAGAGAAAGTCTCCTGTGGCTGAGGCGCGGCCGGACCAAAAGATTCCCTTCCGGGCGGCCGGGGCCCCGCGGTGCCCCGCCGGTGTCCCGCTGGTGTCCCGTGCGGCTGAGGCGCGGCCGGACCAAAAGATTCCCTTCCGGGCGGCCGGGGCCCCGGGGTGTCCCGCCGGTGTCCCGCTATGGTGTCCCGTGTGGCTGAGGCGCGGCCAGGCCAAATGATTCCCTTCCGGGCAACCGGGGGCCCGCGGTGTCCCGCCGGCGTCCCGTCGGTGTCCCGTCGGTGTCCCGATGATGATGATGTTGATGATGATGATGGTGATGATGATGTTGTTGTGCTGTTTTGATGATCGACTTTGAGTTCGATAGCGAGGTCGAATGTGAGATCGATGGTGATATCGATAGTAGTATCGATTGTGAGATCGGACGTGAGACCGAATGTCAGATCGATTGTGAGATCGACTGCGGGATCGATAGTGAGATCGATAGTGGTATCGGTAGCGAGATCGATTGTGAGACCGAATGGGAGATCGAGTGTGCGATCGATCGTGCTACCGATAGTGAGATCGTGAGACCGAGTGTGAGATCGATTGTGGGATATTGTGAGATCGATTGTGAGATCGATAGCCAGATCGATTGTGAGATCGATCGAT